TACATGCTCACCAGTGACTGTGGGCATTTGTGCACATTTGTGATGTAAAACCAAAGGAGGGTTAAAACAGTTTTGGTTTTTGGGGGGAGAAGTGAGTATGGTGAACCTTTTATTCTTTACGATGCCAGGGAGAAATACCCAGAGGAGAAGTTATTTCCAACAAAAATTATTCCTGAAGATTTCCCCTTAGTTTTTACAAGCCAGGACAAAAAAAGAAAAGGGAGTCTTGTCAGGAAGTGGTCAAGCGCTTCCTGTGAGCAGTGTTGTATTCGAGTCAATCACAAGTCCCAGTAAGTCCCTGAAAGTCCATCACAAGTCCATTAAGTGTCATTCAGTCTTGAGCCAATTCACCAGCTATTCAAATGAGTTGTGACAAAAGCGTTCTTGTGTCAATGTTCACTCTCTTATGACTAGCCTTGTGAAGGGACTTGTGATGGACTGCACGGGAAGGCTCATTCCAGGATGCATTGCACCTTCAAATAAACTTTGAATCTTTGAAGGGAGTCACTCGATGCAGAGCACATCGACACCAGCAGTCTCTGCCTGCCATTTTGTCCTGGTGTGCATGAACTGCACGTGCAGTGCATCCAACTGAAAGAATGTTTACATTCTGGGAGTTTTGTTGACTCGGAAGTCAATGATCCCGTTTGTATTCCTGGAACCTCGGGGCTGCGGCTTAAATTAACGTACACTTCTATGGAAGGTGTGAGCTAGCGGCTATGTACATTTTCCCATGGGTGCATATTATTCTAAGCCGTAGTCCAGTAATTCAGGTCCAGGCTTGGCTTGTAATGCTTTTGGAGGACAGATGCACCGTACTTGAATACATGTAACTGTAACCGGTTTCCACTTGTGCTCTTGCGATACCAGACACAGTATTCATGTGCACAAGTGGAGCCAGGGTACCAGTCAGTAACGTGGCTGTGTTAAAATCCGGAGAAGGGATCAAATATTTTTTTCAGTTTGGGATGAGAGGGGTTTTGGCCTAGTACCAACTTCTGCAGCATGTTTTTGGAGTGGTCATTAATGTTTTTTTCATGGGGAAAGATCCAGCAAAGCAGTTACCTCTGGCACATTGGAATGGTGCCAAAAATTGAAAACTGGTGTTGATTTGTAAACCACACAGTGCATTGATAAACGATGTGAAATTCTCTTCTTCACACAGTGCAAAGACGTTCAACATCATCGGCCCAACAAAAACACCTGTGATGTTGGACTTCTGTAACGCACTGCCCAATGAATGCTTGCACTTGCAAAATCATGATTCTAGCTGTTTTTCCCTTTCGTTTGGCCTAAGAGGCAAAAACTTAAAGTTTGAATCTACAACACTTTAGGATGGGCCAGCTTTATGGAAAAAGATACCACTCTTCATAGAATTGGCGCATTATGCTCTTGGCGTTTTGGGGTACCGTACTGATATTTCGACCACGCTTGGGTGTTTGATGGTGCACCCCATTTCGACCGTCCAATTTTCAAGTGTCATGAACACCAGCCCATTCTAGAAGAGGCCACTTTCATTTAGATGTATTTTTGCAATGCATAGGGTTCAGTACGTAGGGTGATCGGGCTTAATAAAGTAGGGTACACCTGGTGTTCACAGCACTTGGAAATTGTGATAGTCTGTGATGGAATTTAGTTGCAGTTTTCCCTCAGAAATATGAACCCAGCAAAGTGTCAAAACGTGTCCAGGTAAATATATCAACTTGGGGGGGGGGGCATTATTTCCATTTCCATTCTCACAGCTCTGAGACATGCTCAGGATACCAGTTTTGAAGTCAAATATTCATTACAAAATGTAAAGATGTGCAGTTCTGTTTTTGACATTCATACAAGTGTAAGTGAAATGATTTGCCGAGGGCTTTGTCAGGAAAATCGAAGTGGTGAATCACTGGTGACTGACGGACGACGTTCTGCAAATGTTTTTAAGACCCAATTATGGGCGGTTTGTGTGTATAATTTGCTTATTTATTGCAGTAAACTTTTGATTGAAGCCATATGTTAAATGATTCTCTCACAGTATTGTACATGTAGTTTGTTTCTGAACTCTTTTTTTTGTATCGTTTGAGGCTTGTATAGAATATTTTGGTATCGATGGAGTAGTGGAGTTGAATAAGTCGGCAAAAGGTCCCAAAGATTTGGTGGAAACCTTATATTTTCTGTGATCCTGTTAGATTTATGTGACGACATCATTTAGTGACACTAGTGTAAGATTTTTGTATTTTTTTGTTGTGTTGGTCTACAAACATACGACAGAAATAAGCCATAGTTTTTATTTTAGTCACGGTTGGAAGAAAATTTTATTTCGATGAAAGAAACAGTTATCTGTACAGTTGATAATGAAATGAAATAAAT